CCATCGTGCTATGGTGCGATTCGAGGAGGCGCTTGGCCTGGAACACGCTGAGGAGAAGGCGAGCTCGCCCTCGCTGCGCCCGCTGCCTCTTGTGCCAGGCTGGCTCGGGGGAGCCCCTGCGGCGCCCCGAGCGCGCCGTGAGTCGCGCGCGCCCTCTGGTGCTCAGCCGCCGGCCTAGCCGCGGGAGCTTTCACGAGCAACTATCGTGAGGGGGGCGCGGCGCCTGAGCCCTGTGCTCCGCCAAAATGGCCTGAGCCCCAGTGGTTTCCTTCTCCTCCTCCTCCTCCTCCTCCTCCTCCTCCTCCTCCTCCTCCTCCTCCCCTTCCCCCTCCTCCTCCTTCTCCTCCTCCTCCTCCTCCTCCTCCGCCTCTTCCTCTTTCTCCTCTTCCTCCGCGAGAGGCGCAGGCATTGGCCGAATATCTGCCTCGCTACTGGGACATGCAGCTCCGGCAGCACACGCCTTCATTAGCACCCCCACGTGCGTACATACCCTTAGCACGCAGGGAACCAGCCTCCATCGCTGAGGGGAGGTAGTTCCTCCTCCTGGCTTTCGGGTCCTAAGTCGGGTCTCCAGCGGCCATGTGGGACACTCCGGGCACCCCTGAAACCCTCTCGGTGAGGCACAGCTGGTGGAACGCATCTCGAGATTGGGAATCTGCCGAGCACCGGCCAGAATGCCCCGTCCGAAACCTCCCCCCCTGCTCCTCTTCCGTTGGCGCCGCGCCCGGCGCAGGAGAAGCCCAAGTGGGGCAGCAGCGGCGACGACTGGGGCCGGGGCGGCGGCAGCTCGGGCGGCGGGTCGTCGTGGAGCGGCGGCAGGGGCGAGCAGAGGCGGGACGACAGCGGGTGGAAGGCGGCCCCCGCGAGCCCGGCGCCGCGCCGCCGCCATTACTCCCAGCTTTCCCCAAGTAGGGCCGAAGCAGACGGGGGCGGAGGGCCGCGCCGCGTCGCCGATGCATCGGCGACACGGCGCGATGCGGGGTCTGATTTTCTCTTCTTCACGCCGACGTCGCCGATGCACTGGCGACGTCGCCGAGGCATCGCCGATGCATTGGCGATGCAGCGGCAATGCGGCGCGATCCTCGGATCCCATCTACGCTGACCTCATCTGGGAGGCTTCTAGTCGCCGTGGTCGTCGTTGTCCTCGCAGAGACTCTGAGATCTGGGCGTCGCAATGTTGTTCGCACCGGGCGTTTCCGCCCAGGCCCGGGGGCCATCGCAGGTCGGGCTCGAAACATGTCGCAGGAAGGTTGGGTCTAGGGAGCAATGTTTTATTCATGCGATGTTTTTGTTTCGCCAGATCGACGTCGTGGTCGTTGCCGCCGGCGTTGTCGCCCCGCAGATGTCGGCGTTTGGGTCCTCACCGCCATATGTAGTGGGGTCGTCGCGGTCGTCGTCGTCGTCGCCGCCGCCGCCGTCGTTTTCGGGGCTTCAGCACAGACCTCGGCGTCCTCGCCCCCTTCGCCCTCGTAGTCGCCCTTGTCGTCGTCGTCACCGTAGACGTCGACGTCCTCGTCCATTTCGCAATCGCCGCCGTCGTCGTCGTCGTCGTCGTCGTCGTCGTCGTCGTCGTCGTCGCCATCGCCATCCTGCTCCTGGCCCTCGCCTGCGTCGTCCCAGGACCTCCCGCGCATGCGACGAAAACCAGACGGGGGTGCTTTGCGATTTTCGCCGCCAGTTTGCAGTTCCAGGCCCCGCAGACAAGTCACACGGTGTCTGAGGTGCAGGCTCGGCGGCGAGCCTGGCGGGGAAGTGAGAAGGAGAAGGCCTTCTCAGAAGGCTCGGAAGCCCCCCGGCCCTCTGAGAAGTTTCTTGAACCTTCCCCGAAGACACGGAAAACCTTTCGGAAGGCGCGAGGTTTTCTGAGATCCCCCGCCGCCTTCTGAAAAGGCCTTCTCCTTCTCACTTCCAACCCTCGCTCGCTGGGGTCCTCGCAGGAACTCCTGGCTGCCGCGGCCCGCAGAGGGCCAGGAACGGCAGCCTGGAGGCCCCCCCCTCGCGAAGAGGCGCGGGCCCCAGCACGGTTTGCTTCTTGCGGCGCTGGGCGGCATCTCGTGCCGCTGCTGCCGAGGCTTGGCTCTCCAAGCAGGCGACGAAACCTATACGTATCTACTACCCCGTGGCCGGGCGCTTCCTCGGCCCAGGAACTGTGTATACGCCCTCGTGGGGCAAGCCAGGAGGGCGTGGCGTATACACGGCTGCTGGGCTAGGACAGGTCTGGGCAGGGAGCAGTGGATCTGTGTAGACGTCGTCGCCCTGGCAATGCAGCTCCCGCCGCTGGGGGAGCGGAGGTCAGAGGCGGAAAAGGCACCAATTTTGCCACGCCTGCACCGCTTCCCAATCATTGGGCTTCCCGGGAGGCCTGGGCCGCCACCGCTGCATTACCGGGACCTGTCGACTTTCCGAGGAGGAGGGCGGGACCCCGTACGGGGCCAGTTGGTGACCGCCACAGAACAAGCACGGCACGGGCGATAGTACAGGGAATGTGCTGAGGGCCAGGCGCTGTCGCACTCATGGATGGTCAGTCGAGGCGAAGGGCATGGTCCGTGATGTTCCCACAAGGGCGCCACCCACGGGCCGCGAGCTCCCTTGCAATGAGCGCCATCACTTGAAAACGGAGCAGACTTCGAAACCAAGAGGATCCATTGCAGAGCGTGACTGGGCTTGCGGCGCCCAGTCAGGATCCGAAGCAGAGTGGGCCACTGCTTGAAGCCAAGCCAGACTTTGAAAACACGCGAGCGACGTAAGTAGATACGCAAAACCAGCAATCGGCATGCTTGCAGTGCCCCACGCCCCTAAGCACCCGTTGGAGTTCTGGGGGCATCCTGCGAGGTCCAAGCTCGACCGGACAACGTGCCCCTAGGCCCCCATCTTCGTGGTTGTCGGATATCATTGTGTATCCTGGGGGAGGGTACCCACGAATGCTCTTCAGTTCGGCCAGCGGAGAGTTTCATGGTCTTGATCGATGAACTTCTGTCCTATGTCTGGCCGTATCCATTCTAGGACCCAGGCCATTTCAGGCGGGGCGCATCGTTTTGCATAGATGTGTACCCTTCACGCGCTCACCATTTCTCAGGCCACGGTTCACCTCATGAGTTTGCCTATCGCAGGTCGGCTCGTGGGTTGCACCCCGCTCACCTGGCGACTCTTTGCATCGCATGGCGGTCGAGAATGCGCAGTGCGGAGGTGGAGTTAGTTTGTTTGGTGCGGAAAAATACTACAGTCGAGCATCTGCTCAAGATAACCTATCCCAGAAAGTTGTGCCGCCGTTTCTTGACCATCTTGCCGGAAAGTTGGCCCAGTTTCTTGCGCACGTTCGCCGTTCCAGTGGGAACAGCAGACATTGGCCCAGGTTTGCTTTCAGAGCCTTGCGGGAAGGTGGCTCAGATTTCTCAAGTGCTCATTTTCTTGATCCTTTTTTTCAGGTGCAGATCGCCAGTCCCAGCGATACCCTGTTCAGTGCCCGCGCTGAAAGTGGCCTGGGGCGGCCAGTGCGGAGCGTGCGCCCGTCCGCGCCCTGCGCCGCCGCAGTCCGCCGACGACCGCGGGGGCGGCTCCAGCTTTTCGGGCTGGAAGGACCGGCGCCCACACGAGGGCGCCCCTCGCGCTGTTCGGAACGAACGACATGGGCACGGAAAAAATGGGCATGTCAAGTGGGTGAGCGTGTTTTTTCCTCCCCATGTGAACGCTCGTTACCTGGGCCAAACCCCTGCCCCACCCCCCCAGGTAACGCTAACGATCGTGCTGGAAGGGGGGGGAGGCTGGACCCCCCCCCCCCGCATATGCTGTAGCGCACGGAGGCGATTGATGCGCTGGTGGCGCGGACGCACCCTGGCAGGTGCACGCCGCGGCCGCCGTTGCCGTTACCCTCCCGCCCGACACCCTCCTTCTCTGGGTAGCGACCGTTGCCTGGGGAAGGAGAAAAGTTGTCATTGGGTCGTTTTGGAAACGCATTCTCACATTCATAATGCCACTCTTTGTCATTCTGCAGAGGCTAGTAAAGGCCATTAGAGGGCCACTAGAGGCTGCCCGCGAAAGGCATCTAAAGGCTGTTCACAGGCGATTAAAAGGCCACTCGAGGCCGTTGCTACTACTACTACTACTACTACTACTACTACTACTGCTACTACTACTACTACTACTACTACTACTACTAATAATACTACTAATAATAATAATGGTAATGATACTAATAATAATACTACTACTAATACTAGTAATACTACCAATATTAAAAATATTACTAATAATAACAATTATAATCATAATACTAATAATAATAATGATAATACTAATAATAACAACAACAATGTAAGTGTGCCCAATCTATGATGACAATAAATGTTGTAGCGCTGAGCTCACCGTGTTTCGGAGGCCCCCTCGAGCCCTCCGCAATTGTCTCCGCTCAGGCCAAGAGCATCGGCCGCGGCGGATGTGGCCCGGGTGGGCCTCCTTCGCCGGCAGCGCGCTGGGCAGCTACCTGGGCGGGCTGCAGACAGGGGGCCGGCCTGCCGACGGCACGTGCCACTGCGACTGCCACATCTCCTTCGAGGGCCTGCCCGAACCCTCGGAGAAGGTGCTGGCTCCCCTTGGGCAGCAGCTGGAACGCTGCGGACCCGGGCAGCTCTCGTGCCCGGCGGCGCCCGCCTGTTCGGCGGTGCCGAAGTGCCCGGCGCCGAAGGCGGTACCGCCCAAAGCCTGCCCTGAGCGGGTCTGTGAGGCGTGCGAGCCGTGCACGCCGTGCTGGGGGTTGCCTTGGTGGTTGCTCGTGGTCGTGGGAGTCGGGGCCTTTGTTGCGGGGACGTGCGCGGGCGGGCTGCCCAGGCTCCAGCGGCGGCGGAGGTCTTCGGCGCCTAGAGCTCTGTACGACCTCGTCGAGGAGCCGGGCGAGCCGACGACTGCACGTGGCACGAGTGCAGGGCCAGGCGGTGGAGCGACACGCTTGGGCGCCAACGCGCCCAAGCTCCGACAGCAGCTCGTGACCGCGTGAGTTCGCCGAGATGGTGACTCACGCGCTGGCGACCAGGCTCCGCATCGTCCTGGTCGACTACCCCGATGCTGACAACTTCACGTGGCACATGAGGCTGCCTCTCCACCACGGCGGGGGCACGCAGTGGGCGGCGTGCACGCCGGACCATCACCTGCAGCTGCTCGACCTGAGCCGCCGCCGCATCATGCACCTCCGTGCTGGGGAGGAGCTTCCAGCTCGAGCGCGGGGTGATGCATATATCTTCGACGAAATTCGAGGAGGGAGAGGAAGAGGCCCTCGTCCGGCAGGAGAAGATGTACGCCGAGACGGTGGGTTTCGTGCTGCCTGGCCCGGCGCGGCCGGCAGGCGTTTGGCGCGTCAGCGACGCCGCCCACGAGATGTTCGGGGAGGTCGTCCCCGACGAGGCGCTGGACGATGAGGAGAGCGTCGTCATTCGGGGCGACGCCGGGCTCGCCTCCCTCGACGAGCGTTGGGTCAGCATCGAGCGCGTCGCCGACAACGACCTGGCGTCCTGGAAGGACAAGAAGGGCAGCGGGCCGGGCCGAGACCAGCGGGCGCTGGGTGTGGCCCGGGACCCGCGCGGGAAGAGGTTCCTGCGGGAAGAGGAGGCGGGGCACCGATCCCCGACAGCCCGCTGCAGGGCCCCTCGGTGGTGCTGCCGTTCTTTGAGGCGCTCGCGGTCGCGGGCCTCGCCCTCGTCGCCCACCGCATGAACTGGCGGCAGAAGAGCGGGGTCGGCGAGAAGAGGGCGGTGTGCAGGGAGCACTTCCTGCTCTGTGACCAGCTGCGCGTCGAGGTCACCATCGACCCGCTCGACCTGGCGCAGCTCGTCGGGTCGGAGTTCCATGTTCGGCGGCTGCTCCAGATCGAGCAGGCCGTGGAGCGCAACCCGAGGCAGCTCGACTTCGAAGGGCTCGAGATCATGCTGTCGTCGGCCCTCGCGCGTGCAGCAGGCGCTGCGACGGAGAAGTTCAACGAGTGGCTCACCGCGCGCCAGCGCGACCAGGCCCAGACGACGAAGCAGGGCCGGCCCTTGCGGGAGGAGAGGGCCGCCGCAGCCAGGAAGAGCTCCGCCGCGCCGCGAGGGGCGGCGGACGCCCAGTCATGACCTTGGAGCCGGGGCCGCGGCCCGGGTGCAGCGATGGCCGCCGCTGTATCCGGCGCGATCGCCGCCCTGGCGAATGCGGCCTGCATGGCGATTTTTTTTCGGGGGCTACGGTGCTGTCAAGACCGACGGTCGCCTCGATGGCCCTAACCATGGTGATCCCTTCCCGCTCCGCCATCCCCCCTACGCCGAGACGGCGCGCCCGACGAGTCGGTCCCTGGTCCAGCGCCAGCGTCGCCGAGAGCGCCGGGAACTCCGAGTCGGGGAGGCGGCCACCTCGCTGAACACCCTCGCCTTGAACTCGGTCGGGGTGGTGCTCCTCCCCAAGCCCAGGCCAGATCCTGTGAGGCCGCTGACCGCCTCGCAACATTCGGTCGCCCAACGTGCGGGCCGGAGAGTGGCGTCCTTTCCGAGCCCTGTCGAAAAGATGTCAGATGACGAAGCCTTGCTTGCGCTTCTCAAGACAAAGGGCCTGCATGAGATCGAGCAGCGCCTCCGCGCCCCGTTTGACTTCGACGAGGTCGAGATCCCCCACCGGGACATCAAGCCGAAGCCGCTCTTGGGCAGGCTCTTGGGGGGGGGCGCGGAGCTCTACCGGGATGCGAACTCCACCAACGAGCGCTCGTTCGCCGAGGTTCAGGCTGAGATTGACAGCGGGGGGCTCCAGACTGTCCGGCGGCATTGGGACAAGAAGCTGCGCTGCCATCGGGGTGCGCGGCTGAAGTTCCTCAAGCGGCTCGCGGACATTGGCCCGGGGACTCTACGACGCCGCATTTGTGGCAAAGTTGTTTTCTTCACCGCGGGGGGGGGGGGCGGCGTGCAGGGGCTCGTGCGCGATGCCCGCGTGCCGAATCAGTTCCACCGGAGGGCGCCGAAGGTCCACTTGGGGACGCCGGCCGCGCTCGCCTCGATCGACCTGTCGGAGGAGGCTCGTGGGCGCGCGCCGGGCTCGGGCGCCTCTGCCGACGACGCGGACCTTCCGCGCGTCGCGACGGTGGACCTCACCGACTCTTTCTACCAGTTCACCGTGGAGGAGGTCCGGGAGTGGTTCGGCGTTGACTACCCCGAGGACGCGGCCACGTGGGGGGCGGAGACCGTCTTCGACCCCGCCTCGGGCGTCCACGAGGCGGTCGCGCCTGAGGGCAAGCTCTTCTTCTGCTTCAAGGGCCCCCCCCATGGGCTGGACATTCGCGTTGTACTTCTGCCAGGCCGTGATGGCCCGGCACGTGTCGAGCGGCCTCGCGGAGACCGGGGGTCACGCCGCGCTCATTGCCGACCGCGCTGTCGCGCCTCAGGTGGTGGATGGCACTCCGGCCGCGGCCGTCCTACGTGGACAACGCGCCCATCATCAGGGCCGCGCGGAGGGGCGCGGAGCTTGGCCTCGCCGCGGTGGTCAAGGCCCTCTCGAAGGCGGGGCTCGCGCATCACGAGGTGGTCGGCGACCGCCGCCGCCGAGTCCGTCGGCCTCGAGCTCCGCCTTGGGCGTGAGGGCGTGGCGCGGCACGCGCGCAAAAGGGCTTGGCGGCTATGCCGGGCCCGACGCGCTTTCTCCGCGCGCCGCGGGTGCACGGGTCGCGCGATGGAGCGGATCGTCGGCCACCTCCTGAACTACTTTGGGCTGTGGCCGGAGGGCATGAGCGCCGCGGGCCGGGTCTGCCGCTTCCTCGAGATGCACGCGGACCAGAACTACGGCCTCTTTGACCAGGACCTCCTCAGCGAGCTCGAGATTTTGCGGGGGCTGATCTTCGTCGCCGGGGAGGTCTGGCACGCGCCGGTCGCCTTCCTGGGCGACTCCAGCACCAAGGGCTACGCGCTGTCCTACACGGAGGTGACGCGCGCCGAGGTGGTCGAGGCCACCAAGGCGCGGGAGCGCTGGCGCTTCGCAGAGGCCCCCGGCCCCCCAGGCGACGGCGCCGGGCGCGATGCCGACCCGGGCTGGGCTGCAACCTCGGACAGCCACTGGGGGGCGGGCCTGCTCGTCTGGGCCCAGCGGCAGGCGCCTCGCGCCGCGCCGGCTGCGCGGGCGCGGCCGCGTCGCCGCTGGATGGAGTCCTGGCCCGAGGTGGAGGTCGAGCCGCCGTTCGCACCGCTCGCCGCGTCCTGGGGCCGCTGGCGCCTCCTTCTTCGCGGCGGCTGGCGCTGCCGGGCGGTGATCCATGAGGAAGCCCGCGTCGAGCTCCTGGGGCTCCGGCGGGCCTGCCGCTCCACGGGGCTGCACGGGGGTACCGGGTGTCCTGCTGGCCATCGGGGACAACGTGGCCAGCGCCCTCGCCTGCGAGAAGGGACGGGCGCGCGACCCCGTCCTGAGGGGACTGGTCGCACGCTCGGCGGCCTATCGCCTGGGCTGCGAGGTGCGCTGGCGGCAGAGGCACATCGAGTCGAAGCGCGACCGCGCGGACTGGGACAGCCGAGCGGCCGACAGGGGAGAGCTGCGGGCTGGCGAGGTGCAGCGCGGACCGGGCCTGAGAGAGCTCGCGCGCGTCGCCGCCAGCTTGGAGGCCGCAGCCTCGCCCCACCCCTCTTCCTCCACATCGAGTGCCACGTGCCATCACGCAGACATCCAGATATTGTTCTTCCTTCGGTTTCGGATAGCTCTAACCTCGCGCCCGTCCAGCCTGCCCGGCCTCCTGCCGGGAGTGGCCGCCTGTCAAGCAGCGCCGCTGATGTTCGAGACCGGGCTGCGAAGAGTAGTCGCAAAAGACTTGGTACGGCTTCGCCTACAACTCCGCCGACGTCGAGCTCTGGGAGGCGGCTGGGGGCCCGCGCTGGGGTCCGTGCCGTCGGCGACGCCAAGGTGCCTCGAGGCCCTGCAGGTTTCTTGGAACTCTACGCGGGTACCGCTCGTCTTTCAGGGGCCCTTCTGGACGCTGGCGCTCGGGTGTGCCCTGCTATCGACTACAACCGCCATGTGCTATTTGATCTGGCAGTCGTGAGCTACAACAACAAGTACGAAGGTGGGCCTCACCAGGTCGCCTCTAGCATGTGCACTATGGGACCCCATGTACCTTCTGGTCGATCACTGCGAGGTCTCGCGGGCTCCACCAGGCCACCGGCCTTGCTGCGGCCAGGTTCTCCTTGGCCCTCATCAAGTTCTTGGGCCGCCTGGGGATCTACTGGACCCTCGAGAACCCCGCGTCGTCTCGGCCATGGTCTTGGGAGCCCCATCCCCCGCTTCCTGGCGGGGAAGTCAGGCGATGTATCGGGGCTTGGTTCGCTGAAGCTACCGCCGGGGAAGTCATGCCACAAGGTTATCCTGGATGCCTGAGCCTTCGGAGCCCATTTCAAGCAGCCCACCGCCATCGCGGGCCCCCTTCCTGGTCTAGACTCTTTGGGGCAGAGGTGTAGAGGTGGTCGCTATCATGACATACTGCAGGGTAAAGTAGCCTTTTCTCGAGACGGCGAGAACATTTGCAAGTGGGCCACCTCGCTCGCCGTCGCCTACGCTCCTCGCCTATGCCGGCAGTGGGCGGAGCTGGCTCTGCGATCGGCGCCGCCGTCTGCAGCGGGGCCGGGGCATGAAGCGCGGCCTGCGTACCGAGAATGGGAGAATCACCTACTCAGCGAGCTCGCGGGCTCCAGCCGACAGGGAGGCCAGGCCTGTGCCCTTCACCGCGCCCGCGCGGCCGCCGATCGACTTCCCCCGACGACGGCCTGCCCCGCGGCTGACCGCCGCCGCGAGTGGCCGCTCGGCGCCAGCCACTGGGGCAGCGAGCGGGTCTGGGTCCCGCGTCGCGCCGCCCCGCGGGGCCGAGGCTGGCGCGGGGGCGGGCGGCCGCCTCGCGGCTGCGCGCCGGGGCCGCGCCGACGTCCGACGGCAGCGCGGGCTCCTCGCCTCCGACTGGCCGCTGAAGGCAGCCTCGATCAGGGCCCGCCAGGCGACACTCTATCGCCAACATGCTCGCATCTTCGAGAGGTGGGCCGAGGGCCGGCGCGACCTTTTTGACGAGCACAGCCTCGACACCACCTTCGAGCAGTTCTTCGACCACCTCTACCAGGACGGCTACAACCTTTTCCATGCACGTCAGGCTCTCTACGGGTACGCCTACGCGCACGACCTCTCCATCACGAAGACGGACTTCCCGTGTGCCCACCGCGCGCCGCGCGGGTTCGGGCGGCAGGCGCCTGGCCGGGAGCGGGACCCAATGCCTTGGGGCGCGTGCCTGCTGCTGAGCGCCGACCTCCTGGACCAGGGCCGCTCGCCGGAGGAGCAGCACGCTGGCGCCGCCCTCGTGCTGCAGTTCGACCTCTACGCGCGGCCCACCGAGGTCTTCGAGCTCCAGGGGTTGCCCATCGTCCTAGGCCGGGGCGCCCAGCCGTCAGGGGTCATAATCAGGGCCGCGGACGACGTGGACGAAGGGTCCACCATCGACCAGGCTCGGGCTCGCGCTGGCTTGCAGCGAGCTCGCCCCGCCAAGTCAGGGCGCCTCGACGGGGCGGTGCTGGCGGGGGAGAAGGCTAGCGATCAGGTTGGTCGCAGCATTGAGCACGTGCTGGTCAAATCCCTCAAACGCTGCCGCTCGCCGGACCAGAAGTTGCCCCGTATCAACCTCGCCACCTACGAGAGAGTGTTGTCAGGCGCCGCGGGGCGCCTCCGCCTCCAGGCGCTCCGGCTCGCTCGCCACGCGGCGAGGCATGGAGGCCCGAGTGAGGACTGCTACGGAGGGTTCCGTGACATTGCTACAATTCAGAGTCGCGGTAGATGGGGGCATCCTCGCAGCGCTGCCAGGTATCGCAAGCCTGGCAAGCTCCTTCGTCAAAAGAAGCACTTGGACAAGCTCGGCGTGGCCGTGCGCCGCGCCGAGCAAGTCTTTAGAATTCGGCTCCTTCGCTATTGCTCAGGCCAGGGCTAAGCAGCATGGGTCAACTGTCTCACTCAGTAATTACGGGAAGTGTACAGTCCCAGCCCATGGACCTCGGCCGACGCGAGGACTCGTGCTGTCGGCGGGGACCGCTCCAGGTGCCTGTCATCTCTCGTCGCTCTGTGATGTGTGCCGCTCGGCTCCAGACCTTTGTACTGCACTCAAGGCTGTTGAGATTTGGTCGACGCGTTCCTCGTGCGCTCCTGGCAAGAAAGGAAGAGATGTCGTCGCAATTCTGGCGTGCGCGGATGCTGCCACGAGATTTGTGCCCAATCTGCGATGACAATAAATGTTGTAGCGCTGAGCTCACCGTGTTTCGGAGGCCCCCATCGTGTCCTCCGCGACTGTCTCCGCTCAAGCCACCCTTAGATGCCGTGCCCAATGCCAAAATGTTCTGCGAGTTTTTATTCCGTTTCTTTTTTTAGTTCCTTGGGGAAGTGTACAGTCCCAGCCCATGGACCTCGGCCGACGCGAGGACTCGTGCTGTCGGCGGGGACCGCTCCAGGTGCCTGTCATCTCTCGTCGCTCTGTGTTGTGTGCCGCTCGACTCCAGACCTTTGTACTGTACTCAAGGCTGTTGAGATTTGGTCGACGCGTTCGTTCCTCGTGCGCTCCAGGCAAGAAAGGAAGATATGTCGTCGCAATTCTGGTGTGCGCGGATGCTGCCACGAGATTTGTGCGTATATATATATGTATATACATATATATATATATATATTATTCACTGCGTGGGGCCCCCCATCTGTTCATCCATTAGCATGGACCTGTCCGCCGCGAGTGTCTAGGCGAAAGAGTTTTCGAATATATGCGGGCTTGGGTATTGACAGTCTGGGAGCGTCTCTAACTTTGAATGGGTTGGAGTGTGAATGGGTCTCAGTAGTGCGAGCGCGTCTCTGCGCATGATCCTGGGGCCTCCTGGGGCCTCCTGAAACCTCCTGGGGCTTTGTTGGGCCTCCTGGCGCTTCTTGGGGCCTCCTGGGGCCTCGCGTGGCCTCCCGGGGCTTCCTGGGACCTCCTGGGGCCTCGCGCGGCCTCCTGGGGGAGATTCAAAGGAGGCCCAATCTATAGGAACAGACGCGCGTAAAACATTGCGGATTGGAGCCGCAGGAGAAGGGCAATCTGTAGGAGCACACGTAAAACACAGAGGACTCGTGGCACTTCCTTCCTATTATAACGTGCGCCTCGAGGTGCTGGCTGCCGCTGCCCGTTCGCTCGCGGCCTGAGACAAAGACACATGGCTCGCCAAGCTACGTGCGATCACTCTAAAGTGAGCTGGATGTTGCATGTGAGTGAGAACGAGCGCGCGTCCGCGGCTGCTTGACTCAAACAGACCGGCCGCCCAGATCTGACTACACCTCAGCGCGAGGTGTGCCATTTGCCATCGAGACCTAAACATATTTTGCTTGAGCTTGCTCGTCGCTCCCGTGACGATGTCCTACTACGGGGACTATCGTCACTGCGCTACAACAGAGCTGGAACTGGGCTTCGCTTAAGGCAAGGCTGCTGGTTGGGCCTCCCAGCCCCTTGCAAACTGGGTCTTCCCCTTGTGGGCGTGCGATGGTGGGCGCGGGGTCCGGCCCCCCCACCCCTCCTGTCGGCGTGGGATGGTGGGTGGTTGTCGTCGGCATCGGCATCGGCGTCGTCGTCGTCGTCGCGTCGTCGTGGTCGTCGTGATCGTCGTCGTCGTCGTCGTCGTAGTGGTCGTCGTGTCGTCGCTGTCGTCGTCGTCGTCGTCCCTCTCCCCATCCCATCGGGGGTGGGGGGCCCGGTGGGGGTGAGATTCTGGAGTGCGTGACGTGGCCGTTTCTTCGCGCGGAAATATTTTCCCGCGCGGCATCTCACGGCGTGAGTTTGCTCGCGCGCACGGTTGTAGCGCGCGCGCGCTCGATTAGACCAGGTTTAGCAATTGTGGCCGTTGTTGTTTGCATGTAATTACTGCTATGATACTTAGGTCATGCTCGTACGTGTGCTCCTTGTCATACACCACCTCCTGACTTTACGCGTGCAGCAGCGTCGTCTGCTTATTTCTACTGGGTGCTATCCTGATGCTACTTCTGCTCGCCTCCTGATCCTTATCGTCGCCATCATCATCGTCATCATCTTCACCATCATCATCACT